CACAATGTCGTATTCAACTGTCCTGTTCTCTGAAGTGAAAACCTTCAGAGCCCTCAACAAAGATATTTCACTCAGAGTAAGCAGTCCATGAACTAAATGACTTAAGATAAGAAGGCGGCTGATTTTGAAATAAAGAAAGGCAAGAGGTCTATAAAAGTTACATGCCCTCCAAGGTCAGATCGCTGATTGCCCCCTTCCCCGGGGTGGGGCTGACCACTCCACCTTCCTGAAGACCTGGTTAAAAAGACAAACGAACCTTCTATTCTGTGGAATTCCTTTGGACCGATCTGCCCAGAGTAGTACTGACAAAAGGAGGAAGTAGACAATCTTAGTGCGGTAGGAAGCTATTCGAAAGAGTGACTCCAGAGGCAGGGGCTTCTTTTGAAATTCTTAACAAGAACTTTTACTCTGAGGGCCTCAAGGATGTAAGCATTTATGGGCTGGTCGGTAAGAAAGAAAACTTCACAAATAACACATGGTTTTTCAGTCACCTTAGACAAAGTGCTAAGAGGGTAATGGATTACAGCTTTGCCTCCCCCCCATTTTTTTCTTACTGCTCTTTAGAAAGCAAGGAAAGACGCAGGCTTATGAGCAAGCTTTGGCCTTTAATTGTAAGGTTGGTTGACGACCGAGAGACAGAGTGGCGAGGTAGGGAAAAGTCACTGTTGGTTTTGCACATACACACACACACACACAAAAACCCTAAGGACTGAGTTGGGAATATGTGCCAGTTTTGCAGAGACATCCAGATTTCCGTGGTGTAAGGAAACTGTTCTTTCACTGCATCTACCTCACGGTGGTAACTTGCAAATTTTTCCCCCATGAAGCTTTATTTTAGGAGACCACTGTAATTTACATGCTCGGACCTGTTATTAACTGCTAGTTTTATGCTGTTATTGGAAATCTTTACATTAGGAAAGAATGTATGGGTTGTGTTTTTGGGGAAGGGAGGCTCAAATGAAAGGCTACCTTGTATAATATCTCAGATCTGTCTACGACTGTGAATGGATTCGAAATCCACATCCCCCAAGCAAAGAAAGTCTTTTTGGCCCCTCATGACTGTCTTCCCAAGGCAAGAGCATTCGTGCAGTTAAGGAGAAGGGACTATTTCATGGGAAAAGATGATCGCATAAATACTTTTTAAACAGTCTGTTTCAGAGCCACTGTAGCATTCATTAAGTACGGCACTTTGTCCTAGAAGACAGAATTGATGAGCCGCCTGAAAGAATCACATCACTTATTCTGTAAATGTAAAAACCAGAAGCAATTGTGCTGTATTAAATTTCAGCCCACAATTGGGTAACTAGAGGAGCCCCCTATTTAATTAAATTCCACTATGCAGTGTGTGACAGGAGAATTAGTGACCTTATGTTTGATTACTGTGTGTGGGGGTTAAAGTATATCTTACAGGAAGATATTCTTCCTTCCTATTTGCCAAGGGGCCAATACCCCCATGGGAACAAGTAGAAGAAGAATACCCGTAAGTCAGTGGAAGACCTAGGTGAGAGGGAACAGGAAGTGAATGCTGTCCCTGGAGCTAGCAGTGGGAGGAACTTCAAGGAGTGATGGACAATGTTAAACATAACTCAGAAGTCAGAAAGATAGGTCTGAAGAGTCCTAACAGAGCTGAGGATGGTGGCTATGCCTGGAATCCTAGCACCCTGGAAGGCTGAGGCAGGAGGATTCCAAGTTTGAGCCCAGCCTGGACAACCTGATGACTTAGCAAGACCCTGTCTCCAAAAAAAATAAAAAGAGCTGGAAGGGTAGCTCAGTGCAAAGGCCCTAGGTTCAATGTCCAGGATCACAAGAATACTAAAGTAAAAATCCCAATTGGGTTAGCAATGGATAGGTCTTTGGTAGCCCTTGACAGATTTCAGGGAAGCAGTGGAAAGATCAAGCTCCAATGAGTGAAGGAGTAAATGTGAAGTAAAGTAGAGATGGCAGGCACAGGAGGGTGAAAGGACAGAGGACACAATGCAGGGGAAAAGCTCTCTCCACGTGTCTCATGAGCAGTGCAACAGATCAAACTAAACATAACCGCCATTTGCTCTGTCTCCTTTCACCTTTTGTAACCTATACGCTATGTTAGAAAAGTTATATTTTGTGTTATTTGTACTATAGGATACAATTTTTATTTTGTTGTATTAACCAATTTGTTTTTGGTTTTTGCGGTACCTGAGATCGAACTCAGGATCTTGCGCTTGCAAGGCAGGCACGGTGTCACTGAACTAAATCCTTGACCCACAAATTTTTTAAAATAAGAAAATAACCCACTTCATTCAGCATATTATAATGAACTCTCCCAGTAAAGGTAGCAATAAACCCATGTGAATAATCTGTTTCATACAATGAAATGATGACAAAATGTTAAAGAAATTGTTAGGTATAATTTTTTAAATGCCAGTAAGGAACAGGGGAATAATTTTAGATACCTTGAGCTAAAACTTCCAAGAAATTAATGCCTTCAGACATCAGTAATAAAAATTCAGTGTAAAGAACATTTATCTTAATACTCTACCTTAAATACTGCATGTAGCAAATACTTACAGTTTTCAGCAGTACTAGAAAGAGCTAATACAAACTTCTTATCCCAGCAAAATAAAAAATAACTTTCACATACAAATATTTAAAAATAAAATGGAAGATGGACCCTTTTTGTTATTTGTTTGTTACTTGAAGGGTTAATGATTGGCCATTGGCATTGGTAGAGGACAGAAATTAGACTTCCATAACCAGGTGTAGACCAAAGAATAACTCTTATTCTTAATTTGATTTATTGAGAGGCCACAACACAGGAATCATGTGTGGCCTGTGAGATTTGGCAACTAATAAATTAGACACATTAGTTCTTATACATGAGGAAAGATCTAGGAGGGGAAAGTCATAAAGGGACTCATTCTTTGGACCTGAGATAGAAAAGAAGATTCTAGAAGGAAAAAAATACTTTTTTTGTTAATGATGGTGGGCTGAGGAACTCCAGCATAAAAAAGTTGGCCCATAGAAGGAACAATATTCTAAGGAACAGGTTGAAAGCAGAGGGGAAAATAAGTGGGAACACAATGCAGAATTTGTATTTAAATCTTCAGTTCTTACACTTTTTTTAGAGTTTATCTAGTCAATAGCACTATAATATTTTCAAACACTGAAGAAGCCTAGTTCCCAGAACACTTTATATTTCCTTCTTAATTCAAGAACAAAACCACTTTCCAGCTCTTCACATTGTTTCATGTCTCTCTCCCCAGTGTGTCCGCTCAAGGTCTGGGAAGTGTCTCGTGGGCCTCTGCCTTTGATAACCCACGCATTTGCCCTCTCTGGCCACGTAAGCTGAGGCCTGGGTTGTTGCCAAACAGGCAAGACTCCAGAAAAGTTTCCTTACTAAGCCTCCAAATCTCCACTTCCTGCTGCTTAGCTTTTTGTCAACATTTTGCCTTCACTTGATTCAATATGTCAAAATTCTTTGCATTTTCACCCTGAAGAAAAATTCCTCTCCATACCAACGGGCTTTCTCCTCTTAACACATCCAGAATTTTTTTCAATGTTTTTTATACTTCTTTTTTTCCTCCAGAGATTTTTTTCAAAAGGCATAGAACTAATGGGCAATTCTCCCCCAGGCCATTTTCACTTGTTAAAAAAATTTTCACAATCGCCAGGGATGTAGCTCAGTGGCACCATGCCTGCCTGGCAAGTGCAAGGTCCTGAGTTCAATTCCTGATACCTGAAAAAAATAAACTAAAATAAAAAATGTTTCCCAGTACTGGGGATTGAACCAAGGGAGCACTGAGCTATATCTCTGGTCTTCTTGCCCCCCTCCATGCCTTTCTTTGAGACAGGGTCCCACTAAGTTGCCCAGGCTGGCCTCAAACTTGAGATCTTCCTGCCTCAGCCTCCTGAGTAGCTGAAATTATAGTTGTGTGCCACGATGCCTAGCCCACTTTGGCTATTTTGTGATTGGTCAAAAAATGATTCTCTTTTGCCCCCAAAAGTTTCCTTTACAATAATAGAAGCAGGTCTGACATAGGAGTATATTAAAGCAAGCTCTCCACAATGACATCCCTGTTACACTGACCAATCCAACACATCTGGTCCTTACCATTCCAACACTTTCATAATGTTTTGCCAAAGAAGCAATTCTCATAATCTCTGTTCAACAACCTGCCTCCGCATCTTCACTTTTGGGTCACACGTGTCATTGAACACCTGAAAAGGCAACTTCTCAAGATCCTGAAATGCGAGTTTAGAAGCTTCTTTCAGTTTCCGTGTTGGATATTCTGTCTGGATACAGTCGGATCACACCACACTAATTTGTACTGTAAAGTTTATGGCATAAACTACAGCTTCAGTGATGTCATCGAATGACGTTCCCCAAAATCAGCTAATCAGGCACAGCTACCATTAACCTGGGGAACTGTTCACATCCAGAAGGGTACATTTCAGCCGGGCATGGTGGCTCACGCCTGTAATCCCAGCACTCGGGAGGCTGAGGCAGGAGGATCGCTGTGAGTTCGAGACCAGCCTGGGCTATGTAGTGAGTTCCAGGTCAGTCTCAACTACATAGTGAGACCCTGTCTCCAAAAAAAAAAAAAAAAAAACAACAACAACAACAAAACCAACCAAAAAAACAGAAGGGTACATTTCCTTTTGAACAGTGGTGCTTGGAAGGACTGAATGAAGACCCTCTTCTGCATAGAACACCTTCATATCCCTGTGTAGCCCGGGGCTCTTCTCCATAGCCAGCCACATTTTAGCAAACACTCATCTGCACAAATCTGTCCACTGCCTAGATAAGCCTCTGGAGTGAGTTATTTACTTATATGGTACTAGGGATTGAACTCAGGGCCTTCCCCATTTCTTTTCTTATTTTTTCTTTGGAGAAATGTTCTTGCTAAATTGCCGGGTTGGAATTTGCAATTCTCCCACCTCGCCCTCCTAGATGCTAGGATTACCGGTGAGCCTCGCGGCCCTGGGTTTAAGCGTTAGATTTTTACACCACTGTCCAAGATGAGCACCGGAAGGAAAACAGGCAATAGACCAGAGTACAAACCTTAACGCTAAGGAGACCAATGGGCAATCACAGTGCTAATTCAGAGGGGGAGAGGAAGCCAGTGGGCGGGACTTCCTCCTGGACAACTGAAAGAAGCCATTGCGGCCCAGGTGACCCGAAAGCCTAAACTGTTGGGGAGCGACAGCGTTGATGACAGTGACTCTGAAGACTAGCCTGACACACACACTCCCAAAAAGATAAGGTTGTCGAAAGAGAGAACCATTGGTGCTACTCAGTTGGCCAAACCACATTGGAACAAGACTGGATGATGCCATCAGTTCAGTGGAGGTCAGGGAAGGCGCGCGCTGTACCCATGTGCAGAGCGACCCCTGCTGGTCCTACTCCATGTCATTCCAGAGGCCACGGGGTGTCCTGCCACAAGCCAGAAGTCTCACTATAGTGGCCTCACCTGTAGGACTCAACCAACAATTTTCCTCCTCTCCCTACCACAAGAGAATGGTGTTTACCAAAGAACAAAACAAAACCATGACTCTTGGGGCTGGGGATTTGGCCCAGTGGTTCCACTGCCTGCCTGCAAGCACAAGGTACCACCGGGGAGGGAAAAAGAGAGAGAGAGAGAGAGAGAGAGAGAGAGAGAGGGAGAGGAGGGAGGGAGGGAATGGTGTTTGGATTCTTGCCCGTGAGTTGCAAAGACTTGCTTTGCACAGCAAGGTCTAAGAAGTTTGGACTTAATAGTGAAGGGCCAAATAGGCCTCTCTAGTTTTCCTAGAGGGAAAGATGCTGGAATGGGACAGTCCAAAAAGAGTAAACCTCTCAACTGATTCTAAGGCAGGTGAATGACTGGTAGCTGTGCTGTTGCTAAAACCTCAGCACCACTTGATTTTCTACACGTTCTACCGTAGGCACGTGGCATCGAGGTTTTATTTGGTGGTGGCCGTGTTCAGTGTGAACTGATTTGTCTTTAGAAACACAGGGACCAATTTGCGCGAACGTGTAAGGTTTCTGTCAAGTTATGTAACCTAACTACAACTTCTTTTTGCTAAAGCCCTTCCTGTAGCTAGCTAGGAGCATGTCAGTTCTAAGAGCAAATTGTGTTTTGGTTTTCGCGCATTTTGAGGTCTGGGAACTAACCTCATTTCTTTTTCACTATTCTGAATCCCAGATGTCAGTAACTGCTGAGGTTCAGTGTAAAAGTGACAGAACGGGCACAAATTAAATTTGACCTGGAGACCACTTCTTTGTGCAAAGAGCCCCTAGAGATGAATAAGTGGTCGTCACCCGCTAGTGGAACACCATCTGGAAAGCTTCCAAATCCTGCACTGCAGAAGTGATGCCAAACGGTCCCCTGGTGATCCAAGTGAATACCTAATTTAGTTTTGCTATTCTGTGACCACCCCAGCTTCAGTTGTCTATTTCATAATGGGAATATGTATAGTATATGTGGTGGTTAAAGCACAGACATCTGATATTAAACTGGCCCTGTTTCTTTTTATTAGCCATGAGACCTTGGGCATGGAACTTTACCTGTCTTAAGTTTCAGCTGTCTTCCCGGTAAAATATCTATCTCAGCATTTATGTGACTGTACATGTTTGTATGGGTACCCAGAAAAGTACTTGACATCCACGTGTAAATGCTGGGTGTGTTGTAACTATTGTTCTAATAATGACACCTGATGATTTTTACAAAGAAAAACAAGATTAGAACACTTGCATTAATTAGGATAAATCTGGCCACTCCACTAGAACTGCGATGTGAGATGCATTTCCTTGTGACAAAAATAGGTGCCGTACGTAGATCATTATTAAAGGCAGCATATTAAAGATGCCTTTAACAGTGAGTCCTTCAGAGGCACTGGATTTCCAGTGTATTAGAGTCGAGAAACTGATTTGAAACAAGCCTATCTAAAGACGACAAACAGATAGGTGAGCTACATCAGCTCCGAGGACCCCAGGGACCATCTCCCGGCTTCAACACATCTGATACGGAGTGGTACGACAGGAAGATCTTGAGTGGACATTTATATCATTTGGTGGTTTTCTCAGGTTCCTAAATTATTTCAGGGTATTTTATATCCAGAAAACCATGAGTCTTTGATGTAAAACTGTGGACTTTCCTCTGGTTAAATGCAGGGCATTGCTTCATGGTCATCCAGCAAAGCAGAGGTTATGTTGGTTAGGCCCAACTGGGTGGGTAAAAGTAATAGCTAATGTTGAGTCAGATCCCAGCCTGCCTGATGATTAAGTGAAAAGCAGCTTCCCGCAAAGCAGTGTCATACTTTTACACGGATTGCTTTGCTACAATGGAAATCTTGACAGTTAAATCCACACAGATTAAAACGTGTTCAGTAACAAAGCGAAATGTGTCCTTAAATTCTCTTACCTTCTCATGATGGTTTCTTTTAAAATAATGATGTCACAAGTTGAGGGAATCATTAAGTCACCTCCAGGAAGCGCCTTTGAGACTCAGGTTAGTTCCTGGTGGACAGGTACAGAGAAAACTGGTATTATCTTGTAAGCTCACCTTTATGGCCACTGCCATCATTTACAAGCGATATTTTTAGCTTGGAATTTCAGTGAGCATGAGGTATGTAAAGGAATTGAAGTTTTTTGCTTTTGTTTTTGTTTTTATTTTTTGAGACAGGGTCTCATTATGTAGAGTTGAGACTGACCTGGAACTCACTATGAAGCCCAGGGTGGTCTCAAACTCACAGCGATCCTCCTGCCTCAGCCTCCCAAGTGCTGAGATTACAGGCGTGTGCCACCACGCCCGGCTAAGGAATTGACGTTTTGAGAATGTAGAAATCCAACCAAAGGCACTGAGGTCCGAACCTCAAAGTCATCCTAATAGGCTTTGCAGAGGCTCCATCAGAAAGTTTACAAAATCTGGAGAATAGTCTCATCTTTTATTTTACTAGTGACTCTCCCCCCAGCCTGAGGTAATTGTTTTTTTCTGCTTTTTGTTTGTTTGTTTGTTTGTTTTGTTTTGTTTTGTTTGAGACAGGGCCTCGCTATGTAGTTGAGACTGACCTGGAACTCACTATATAGCCCAGGCTCGCCTCAAGCTCACAGCGATCCTCCTGCCTCAGCCTCCAGAGAGCTGGGATTACAGGTGTTCACCACCAGGCCTGACTTGTTTTTTTCTGTATTTAGTGAAAGGACAACAGTTATTTTGTATGACCCTGAATTTGACTTTTTATCAAAGTAGCATTTTTCATCCAAGGTTGTCCACTGAATTTCTCCATAGGAGCTTCAAGAGGTTGTGAATTCCTGAGAGAAGGGGTTGCATTTTTGAGTGGATTCTTTTTTTGACATGGAAAACAAGTAGCTTAACATACAATAAATGCTTCAATAACTGAGTGATTGTGGTGTATCCATGGATGTGAATGATGTTCTCTTTACATTACGGAAGATCACACTGTCACATTCTTTGCTTTTGTCCTGAATAAACTGCCTCCCCGCCAGCTCAGGCCTCTGGACCCCAAGAGGCTCTTCAGCCACGGCACCCTGAGCCATAACCTCACAGGCAGGCTTGAGGAATTATTGTCCAGTATTCTTCCATTTAGGTTTTGGAATTTGTATTTGTTTTTGTTTTGCTGGCTTTCTATCCTGATGTTTCTTGTTTTGCTTTTCTTCAGAAGGGTGAATGTGGACAGCATTAAGGGAATTATGGGCAGAAAATCTGGGGTGGTTCGTGAGCTCTCCCTATTTGGAGTCAAGATTTAAAGACTTTTGTCTGAACAAGGAGGCTCAGTGAATAGAAAAATGACATCTGTCCTGCTTATGTGGAAACCTGAAGTAGAGGTTAGAAAGTAGACTTCTTAGAGCTGGGCGTGGTGGCGCACTCCTGTAATCCCAGCATTCAGGAGGCTGAGGCAGGAGGATTGCTGTGAACAGCCTGGGCTACGCAGTGAGTTCCAGGGCAGTCTGAATTACATAGTGAGGCCCTGTCTCAAAAAAAAAAAAAAAAAAAAAGTGGACTTCTTATTTAATAGAGTAAAAGAAAAAAAAGGTGGTAATGGAAGCCCAGGAATTCTGGTGACTGTGAGAAGACTGAATGTGGTACATGGAAGTCAAAAAGAGGGGAGCGATGTGCTCAAAGGGGCTGCATGGCTATTCATTCAGTTTGCAGTGGGAGCTTCCTTCTGCTGGAAGAGAGTAGCTCCTAGCCTAGAGGTGTTTATTGCCAGATCAGCACTTCACACCAGCAGTCTGGCCCAGAGCTTTTGGATCTGCCAGAAACTGCTCAGTGCTGAACGAATTCTTTAGCCTAGGAGTATGAATGGAGGGCCTGATTCCTAACCCTCTTCCTTCTTTTGAGACTTACTCTGAGTAACAGGGTGATCCGAGATCTGAAGATGAATGGCAGCTTGTTAATATGAAGGACTTTTATTTGTTGCCATGTGTGTAACAGGAGCATATGCAAGACATATGCACTCTATGACTTCCCCCAACCTGTCCGCAAAGCAGGATTTGTGTTTCTGACTAAAAAGGGCTTTGCTTCTGTCAACCCTGCATAAATCATTCTAAAAGCTGGAAGTAGGTTTGAATCCCATCCTAGTTTAAGGCATTGCCTGCTTCCAAAGTGGAGGATTGGCAGCGAGGTGCAGGCAATACTAACGTTTCTTTTCCCTTTCTGCCACCTTCACCCTACTCCTCCTTTTTTTTCCTGAGTCAAAACCAAGCCAGTACTGCCACTGGCAGAAAAATCTTGTTTTGACTTGTAAACTGAGCAGGTTAGATCAGAGAGACACTAACAGGGGTATAAAAATGGAAATTCAAGAAGTCAGTCTTAGTCCAGAGTTGCTTTTTCAGCCAGAACTTGTCAGCTGAGGAACTTTTACTCCTCTTCATTTTTAGGGGGTCTCTCTTTATAATCCGGCAAGCTATGGCCTATTGGGCCGACTCAGGTCAACTGGCTCTTTTCATATGGCCCACAAGCTAAGAATGGTTTTTATATTTTTAAATGATTGATAAAAATCAAAATTAGAATCATCTTTTGCAACACATGAAAATGATATGGGAAGGAGAAGGAAACATAAAAAGAATTAAGATGTGTTATGTACATGGACCAACTCCCTGTGATGAATGCAATTATTGTGTACTGCAAACATGTCCGGGGGAAGAAAAGAAAATGATATAACATTCAAGTTTCAGTGTCCATAAATAAAGTTGCTTTGGATCTTAGCTGCATTCATTCATTTATGGGTCATCTAAGGCTGCTTTCATGTTGTACTGGCTGAGCTGAATAGTAACAGTGTCCCATGGCCTGCACAGCCTAAAATATTTACTCTCTGATCCTATACCCCAAAATAATATTGCCAATCTCT